ATCGAGCAGGCCTGCGCCGAGATGGATCGCCGCGGCATCAAGGTGAAGCGCACCAGCAGCTTGTGGGAGACGGAGCCCATGTATGTGTTAGATCAGGATAGGTTCGTCAATGGAGTCTGTGAGGTTAGTGACACTCATTCTTTGAAATCTCTCCTTCACTCTGTCTCCGTTCATGAGCTCAGGGTTTTATGTGTGATATTCATGCACTTCTTGGAAGTGTAGCTATGTCAATTAACTTTTGACTGATCGGATGACATACAGGTCGAGACTGAACTCGAACCTTTGGCTCTTCTCGATGAACTCCAGGACATTGAGCGCACCCTGGGCCGTAAGAAGCTGATAGACAAGGGCCCCCGCAACATTGACCTCGACATTCTCATGTATGGTGATGAAAAGATTGAGCATCCTCGTCTCAACGTGCCTCACATCGGCATACCCGAGAGAGAATTCGTCCTGCGACCTCTGGCTGAGTCCGTCCTCTCTCAAACGTCCTCTCACATGACATGGCGACTAACACACTCCATCTCAGACTCATCCCAGAAAAGCCTCTCTACGCATCCAACCCCTGGAAACTCACCCTGGACTACCTCAACGAGCTTCCCCCCTCAGCGGCGCCCCTCTCACCACTCACCCCCATCTCCGCCTCTCACCCTCCCCTCGCCGCCCTCACCTCCAGCCGCCAAACCCACGTCATGGCCATCATCAACGCCACTCCCGACTCCTTCTCCGACGGCGGCGTCCACAACGCCCAAAACCTCGTCGCGACCCTCAAATCCTTCGCCGCCGCCGGCGTCACCATCGTCGACGTGGGCGGCTGCTCCACGGCCCCGGGACGCCCCGAAGTCCCCGCCGACGAGGAACTCGCCCGGGTCCTCCCCGTCATAAAGCTCGTCCGCGCCCTCCCCGAACTCGCCCACCTCGCCGTCAGCATCGACACCTACCGCGCCTCCGTCGCCGAGGCCGCCGTCGCCGCGGGTGCCGACATCATCAACGACGTGTCCGCGGGCCAGCTCGACCCGTCCATGATCCCCTACATGGCGCGCAGCAACCGCACCGTCTGCCTCATGCACATGCGCGGCACCCCCGCGACCATGAACTCGCTGACGGACTACCCCGACGGCCTGATCCCCACCATCGCCCGCGAGCTTCTCGAGCGCGTCGCCGAGGCCGAGGCCGCGGGCGTGCGCCGGTGGCGCATCATTCTCGACCCCGGGTTGGGCTTCGCCAAGACGGGGCCGCAGAACCTCGAGATTTTGCGCCACATGGACGAGTTGCGTTCCTGGCCGGGCCTGGAGGGGTTCCCCTGGCTGGTTGGGTCTAGCCGGAAGAGCTTCGTCGGCAAGTTCACTGGTGTGTCGAAGCCGCAGGAGCGGATTTGGGGCACGGCGGCCACGGTCGTCTCGGCTGTCCAGGGCGGCGCGGACATTGTCAGAGTTCACGATGCCGTTGAGATGTGCCAGATTGTCAAGATGGCGGACGCCATTTACAGACACTGAGCGACTTGATTTGCTTGGCAATAGAAGGATAATAAAATAGAATATGTACAACAAATGGGAATCAGCGATGGGTATAGACTTCCTGTATGATAAGATGGCAACAAAAGCTTTGGTTTCACGAGCCAACTTCTTCGACTTCATCTTCAGCTGAGCTTTGACTAAACAAACCACCTTGATTCACAGAGAAGGTCACGAATTCTTCCTGGACTATCTCGACCATCGTTGTAATAACAGTCAACATCCGCACTCTACTTAAAACGGTTCCGAAGATTGGCAGATACGCCCAAGATAGCCTGGCTACTCACCAGTACTCCTCCCTCGTACCAAGCTCACTGCTCCTATAGATAGCATCCAACATACGATGCCTAAGATGCCTAATCGAAGCAACGTCAAAATCCGGCGCCTCCCTAGAACCCCCGGCAAACGCCTCCCACGCCTTGCCCGTGTTATCCGAAAACCCCTTGACCTCATCCACTTCAACAACCTCCAGCACGGCACTCGGCTCAGCCTTGACGAACTTGATCGTCGGCGGGAATCCCTGGATATTCCCCATCGGACCCTCAGTCAGAAGCGTCCCCTTTGTCCCCGTAATTTCCCAAAAGAAATTCTTGTCAATCCGGCTCATACCGTCCTGGCAAACCGCAGTCGCAACCCCGCCGCCGGGAAGCCTCCCCATCACAGAGAGATGATCATGCGCCGTCTTCTCAATCTCACCTTTCGGCTTCCCCTCGCTGTCAGTGATAATCACCCGTGGCCGATTATTCACCAACGTAGCCTAAACTCCCCTCAACTCCCCAACACAAAACACAGCGCGTCCGGCGCGTGGCCCGCCGAGATGGACACTAGATTAGCGCCAATCTCGATATCGGCGCCGTACCCCGCCGCCTCGGGCATCGTAGGCCCGAACCAAGGGCTCATGAACAACATCGTGGTCTGCAGCATATCCCCCAATGCCCCGCGTTCCACGAGTTCCTTGGCTTTAAGGGTAGCAGGGTCCTGACGCCCTTGTAACCCCACCAAGGTCCTGACTCCCTTTCCTCTAGCCAGGGACGTCAGGCGCTCTGCCTCGATGCTGTTCCGCGCCAGGGGCCACTCGCAGAAGACGGCGCTTTTCCCGGCGCGGATGGCGGCTTCGACGGCTGCGGCGTGGAGGTGGACTTTTATGGTTACGGCTATGAGGTCGACGTCTGGGTCGGAGACGAGGGCGTTGATGTCGCCGTAGGCTTTGGTGTCTTGCGCAAGATTGTGGAGGCGGATTGCTTTTTGGGCTGTTTCTCTGGAGCTGTTTTGGAGGGCTGCGAAGTTGTAGTGTTTGGAGTTGATGAAGTAGGGGAGGTGAGCGGCGACGGCCCAGGACCATTCGCTATCCTCGTTGTTAGTATCTGTGAGTTTCAAAGGAATGAGAAGCGTGGCTGCTAAGGTACGTACGGTCGGGAGGATAGGCCGATGAAGCCGACGTTGGTCACTTTAGGGGACATTTTGGAAGACGGGATGTCGCTGTTGGAGTGATTGAGATGCTAGAATGTAATGTTGGACGGATTGAATGAACTACAGAGAGAAGTGTCTAAGAGCGATTCGTCTTGATATATGCACTACATCTTGAGATATTTGCCACGATTTTTTTATTCATCGCGAGAATCCCCATTCTCGTCTTCGCGGATTTCGTCAGATAACAAACACTGATCAACCTTACCATTATGCAGTATGTGTTCGTGGGTAAATTTGTCATCTTAAATTGTTGGTTTAGACCGCAGACCATCCGCCGGGCTTAGTCAAAAGCTTGTATAAAAGTCCGCCAACTCATCCGCTATCTCGAATTTGGTTCAAAACAGAGTCGGTTCGATTGCCGTTGTATCCCAGAAGCGCAAAGTCAGCCAAGATGATATCAAAATTGCCATTGCGTTATAGAAAGTTTACATACCCGGAAGTGGGCATCACGGTTCCGCGCGACATGTTTATCTCAATCCGATTAGTCACTTGTTGTTCAAAACTTGAGAGATCATAACGTATTACTTGCCCCTAACTTGGGAAATGTCAGCTCCTGATCGGAAACAGGTGTTCTCTGTGCGATAAATCCGAAGTGAGGAGCAGGGCCCATCTGATGCAAGGCAACTCAACCCAGCTGCTAGACCAAGATCCAGAGCAGGTGCGATGGATCCCATCACGTTAGCCGTCGACGGGCAAACAAGAGAAGGTTTCTAATCGGTGCTTAAGGAGACTGAAAAGGGCAATCATGTCTCGCAGAATACCCACCTATTCCAGGTATTTTGAAGCCCCTGATCGAGCCTTTGATAATCGAAATATCCAGTGTCATCCCTTGAAAGGTGGAGGCATCTGGTTCCCAAGCTTTGGGAGAGGAGACATATAGAGTCGTGCATGACTTGTTGCTGTGGGAGATAGTCGTTGTCACTACGAATAAGTTGGTACACAAAATTTGAGTAAGCATAATTCCTCAACAGCCCAGGCAAAAGAGTTCACCCCCCCGGTGCTGAACTGGGGGCTACATCTCTGGCGCTCATACTGGGAAATTTCTGGTGCTCATGCTGGGATTCGAACTCGGGTACTCGCTAAGCCTGTCGTCGAGTAGGCTGGTTGGCGTATAAATTAATTGTTGACCATGAACCATTCCACCACTCACGCCACAGTTTGACCTGACCCCCGACCTAGAGGGCGCCTGCTGTGCTGGTGACGGAAACGGGGCTGAGGGGGTATATGAGGCCTTGTGCGTGGGTGTTCTGGCTGAATATTCCGCGAGTATTCCCCATGAGTATTTCACATGGATACGCTTACGTCTTTAAGTGATATTGCCGGACGTATGGTAGCGGCGAGAGACCTTCAGAAATCGCCCAGCCTTTTGACCCAGCCTTTTGACCCAGCCTTTTGGCCCAGCCCTAAGGATTAGATGAAATACTATGCTGATCTGTCAGATTGTGCTCTAGGTGTGTCAATGTCAGAGATTATTCGTGTCACAGCAATAACGGCCATGATTCAACTCATGTAATTTGGATGGATGTAGTGTATTAGAACTAATGTGGTTGTTCTACACTAGTTCAGTATTGTTTATCCCATGTATCGCGTTGAACTGTTTTTGTCAACGCCGCAGACTGTCTGTCTGCCTGCTCACAAGAATGAGATACTAGCCATACACGGTCTCATTCTGCTGAAACCGAACTGATGTGGATGCTATCGCCCACCAAGGCCCGAAGGCTCAAGGACATCCTATTACTGTCCCCCACAAAGTAGAGAGACTACCCATACACATTTCCACAACGCCGAAAGCCTAAGCCAGTACGCCAGGGTATCTTAACTCCCAAGGTCCTTAGACCTCAATGTCCTTTTCACATCACCCAAGTCTCCGAAGGCATCAAGAGTCATGTGCTCCATTGTCAGTCGGAGAAGGCGCCAGCCCGCCAAGGTTCCTTTCCCATAACCCAACACCTCTCCCAGGCTGCAAGAGACACGAGCTCTACCGTTCAGCCTGAGGTGTGTGTGTGTGCGTGCTCCTTAACGGAAGCCCAACTGCTCCACATCCTTGCACTCAGCGGCGCCATATTTGTTATGGGTAGCCTCGTACCAGGCGGCTTGGACCATGCCGACGTTGCAGAAGGTGGAGGCGACGAAGTGCCAGATCAGTTCGCCCTTGTCGGTGCCCGCGCGGCAGGAAGCGTCCGAGGCGGCGAAGCAGCCACTGAAGCGTCTGAGGTTGCGCCAGAGATCGCCGCAGACCTTGGGGGCGTCGTCGACTCCCGAGTAGGCCTTGAGCGAGTAGGCGTGGAGGACGCGGCGTTTCATCTCCTGGTGCTGACAGAGTGCGCCCCCGTGCTGGACGAAGTCGTCGACTGAGGAGTCGGGGGCTTCGGGGGTTGCGATGTCTGTGTTGTTGACCTTGCCGTCGCCCTCTTTGATGGTGGGGACGCCTGCGTCGGTCTTGTCGTCGCCATCTTTGGTGGTGGGGACGTTTGTGTCGACCTTGCCGTCGCCCTCTTTTGCGATGGGGGGGACTGGTTTGGCCTTGGGGACATACTGTAGAGGGACGACCTTGTCTGTGTTGATCACACCGGCACCCTCTGGGATGAAGGCCTTGTCTTTTTCGCCAGCGCCAACATACTTGACGAGGTTGGGGATGCCTTCACTGACGACAGGTTTGTCTCGGCGGACGTTGCCAGCAGGAGCAGCGTCAGCGCCGAAGAAGACGGCGGCAGCGAGAACGATGAGGGTAGCAGAGAACTGCATCTTGACGATTGAAGTTGGGTTGCTTGTGTATGTGTAATTGGGTTGTAAGTTGGTTGGGTAGTTGTATGTAAGTGGTTGAGTTGACTTCTTGACAAGATGCAGTGATGAGAGTGGTATGTAAGATGGATGGAGGATGAATAGAAAAGAGAAATTGTAGGAGGAAAAAGGCCAAAACTTATAGGCTTCTGGAAGATCGAGGCCGTCACGGTGTCTGCATTCGCGAGTCTATTCCGACTCTTCGTGCCCTAACGTGCTCAACCTAAGGCTCAACCTGTGGGATTGATGGATGCCAAAGGAGGTTTTTTCACCATGTGCGCATGTTCCTGGGCGGCCCGTTGCACCGAAATTTCGGCATCAAGGTTGAGAGCCATGGCCTCCGTTCGGAATAAACACGACTGTTAGAAACCTTGACGGAAGGTTAACCAGCGGTGCGGGTATGTCTGTCAGCCTTGAGGATGTAAGGCCAAGGGCCCTTTCTCCGGTCTCTATTGAAATCTATCGGAGTCAAGCCTATAGTTTCAACGGAGATTGCCACAAGACTGAGGAGGCGTCTGGTCCAGATTTCTGGCTAGCCTGAAAAGGCCTCGCTGAGCATAGAGGTATGAGCAGCAGAAAAGCTTGAGCCATAGCAGTTGAGAGTATAGGTTTCATGGAAATAGAGAGAACGAACGTTGGCTATCTCCTCGTGCAAATAAACTCTCTGGCAGCGTTCTGTAACGAGCCACGCAATTATCCATAAACTTCTCCCTGCTGCTCAAACTATACTAGGTAGAGCGAGTAACCAGGTAGATTGATACATCGCAGCTCCAAACTTGCAGAACCAATGGCTTCATTGGTTACTTGGCCTGGAAGGTCTACCACGATATACTTGAAAGCAGTGGGTTCGAGATAGGGCGTACAATGGATAGAACTTCAAACATCACTACACCACCGGACATCTTTTTAGTAGAACAACGACGCGCAGTTTCAACGACGTAGGAGATATCTCGTAGGTGGTTGTGCAGCCATTCGCTGGCCACTACACATGATAATGTTAAAGCCTCAAATTCCTACGTTTGACCGATAACATCAAAAGCAGTGTCCGACTCAGCAACTTCATCTACAATACTGAAAAGGCGACTCCACGTACCATTCTCCCATTGTTCACAGGTAAGTCGCTCTCGCCACTCCATGTAGACCTAGTTTGCGTCCGGAGCAGCGTGCCACAGCAGTTTGAATATGGACGTTACCATTGTAGTTCTGGGTATTATCTTAGGACTAAGAATACCGTGAGAATATAAGTCTATGGAGGTAGTAATCGAATCCATAAGCTCTGGACTTTTACATCGTCGTTCCCGAACTAGGTATCTTATGAGAGCCGGAACTCTTTGCTAGGCTTGAGGGGTATAAGACGAGCCCTGATATCGGCCGATCAATTTCCGCGTCTTTTCCAAGTACGCCTACTTTATCTTCGTAAGAAATAACGATACCCGATGAAGAAATAGGTTCGGTGAAGGGTGTTGGTGAGCAACGACACGCCAGTGTGCACGACCATTATCAAGGAAATGGAGCTTGCTCTTATCGGAGAATATAATATCATACAGAAACATGGCGACCCTCTTAGGTAAGCGTCAGGCCTCTCGACGCATGGTCTGTGGCGGACGCACCTCTAGCCCTGGCGGTCACGATTGCGGCTCCGGATTCCGGGGAGTGGGGTTTGCCCGGCGCCGGGAAAGGCGCCGGAGGAGACCGGCCCCGCCTTCTCGAGAGCTTGCAAGATGTTCGACCCGAGTCGCATACTTAGACAACCGAATCTGAACCCTTGATTGCATCATGTGTAAGTGCAATAACTCGAGGAGCGCTTGTCCCTTCTATTCACATGCCTTTCGGTGATATCACAGGGTCTCGCGACCAGTGAAAGAACTGCTACGACGTTACTTCAATTCACGCCCGCCGTCTAGCTGGAAAGGCACAACGAGATTTTCCAAGACTGAATGGCCAGCTTTCAGTTTTATTTCGCGGCTTCGTATCGCTGAAGCAGGAATAGGAGAGGTTTGGAAGTCAGGACCCCCCCCCCCCTCCCCCCGGTGAGGCCTGCCCTGACAGATGAAACAACTGATGCCCCTGACAGACGTCCCCTCAACCACAAGGCTGGGAAGGAATTTTTCTCTATATCTAGAACTCGTTTTCCATTTCATTATCGAACGACAAAAACTCATAAGTGAAATGGGCATGCAACCACAAATATCTGTCAGAATGTTCTATTTTTGCGTTTTGTTCTGCTATTGAAAATTTAGAGGGGGGCAGGGGAACGGAATTATCCAGCAAGCGCTGCTCGTTTCAGCAACGGCCCCTTGAACGCCACGAACCTGGCATTGACACGATCCTGCGACGGCAGATCTGTTTCGACTCTTTTGCTCTTGTCCCTGTAACGTCAAGCCCCAAATGAAGGAACAGAAGTGTCAGACGCACAGCACGGCGCATATTGGCCGTGAGCACTCCGTACAGATTACAGCTCCATACCGAGAAAAAAGGGCCAAAACACCAAAACACCACGACGTAAAATCATCTACACGTTCAAGTCCCTTTCATCTGAACTTCGGCGTGGCGTGCGCGTGTTCATCCCCTCTCCCACCGAAGCCGCGCACATACTGCAAACATCCAAATCAATAGCCCCAAATCATGAGATCATCTAATATCGCCGTGTGGCTATCAATCGCAGCCGGTGCGCTCGCATGCGACGGCGGGCACGACGACATCAGCGCCCTTGACACCGGCCTGGTAGCGACAGACAACAATGACGCGCAGCAGCAGCAGCAGCTTCAAGATCGCATATGCGCCTCTAACCCGTTGACTTTTGCATCGTTGCAGAGCACCATTAAGAAGAACGACACATCACCGTACAGCGTCCTTGACACGGCAGACGAACCCTTTATTGATGAGGGCGTACCTGAGGGACTTGGTGACTCGGAAGAAGCGCGGATCCGTTATGGAACGAGTAGGTCCTTCTTTACATATCACATCACCGTTCACCTTACCTCACTCATAACCTCACTTCGCCCATGACCTCACCTCACTTCACTTCATCTCACAACATAACCTCACTCATAAACTCACCTCACCTCACTCACCCTCACACCGGCTCACTCACTAACTCAACCACCAGATCTCAAATCACCATCCGGCCTCTGGCAAGTCCGCCCCTCCCCAGGAAAAGGCCTCGGCATCTTCGCCCTCGCCCCCATCCCCCGCGGCACCGTGATCATAGACGAAACCCCCCTCTTCACAATCAACCCCGGCGCCCTCACCCCGGGCCAAGGCTTCGCCTTCGCCGCCATCGCAGCCCTCGTCGACGAAGCTTTCGCCCAACTCAACGCCTCCAGCCGCACAGCCTACCTCTCCTGCCCAGCGCATCGCGACCTGGGGGGCGCAGACGACGGCATCAGCAGGGAAGCCCTCATCTTCCGCACAAACGGCTTCACCATGTCCTCTGGCGAGATCGGCATCTTCCCGCACATTGCGAAACTCAACCACGCGTGCCGCCCCAACGCGGGGTCCGCCTCGGTCGGCGGGCGGAGGGTGATTTGGGCGGGTAGGGATATCGCGCCGGGCGAGGAGGTGACGATCACGTACGCGCCGCTGGTGCAGGATACGGACAGCCGGCGGGCGAGGCTCGCGCAGTGGGGGTTCACGTGTGATTGTCAGGCGTGCGAGGCGCGGGACGACGACGGCAAGAGGATCGAGATGAAGAGGTTGATGGGGCTTATCGAGCGGGAACTCGGGAGCGATGCGTTTGGCGGAGACGTGTTGCCCGACGCGGAGCGGCTCGTGAAGCTTGTTGGGGAGGTCGGGTTGGTGGATTACCTGGGTAAAGCGTACAAGTATGCTTCGTACGCGGCGTCGAGGTCGGGTAAGTTTGGGGCGGCGAGGAAGTGGGCGAGGAAGGAGTTGAAGATTCACGAGATTGCTGATGAGGAGTCGGAGTATGCGAGGGAGACGAGGGCGTTTTTGGCGTCGCTTCCGTTGTTGTGAAGGGGCGATTGTGGGGGACAGTTTACGAAGATTTTCATCAGTGGTTGCCGGCTGACCTCTCTCGGAACCGAGTCAAGGTCGGCATGGAAAAGGGGGTTGCGAGTCGGTCCAGTCCCCGCGGTTGAGTCACCCCGGCCGGTCGTGACGCGGCCGAAAACCGTAACCGGGGGATGGAAGGGAGGGGGCGGACCACTCCGCAGACTTGGCTATCCGTACGGATACCGCTCCCCCCTCCTTTTGGGGGGAGTGGATCCCCCGCAGATCCGACCGGGCGTCTCAAAAGGGCTCCGTCCAGTGTTCGGCGTGAGTCACTCTGTGCGGAGGGGTGGTTGAGAACACACCAACGCAAGCTGGGAAGCCAGACCAACTCACCTGAACCGCGACTCCAAGTCACTTCGAGGTGAAGGCGAGAGGGGTACGTACCGCGCAGTTCCTTCAGGTTTGCAGGGAAAAGGTACAACGCCACCAAGCTAGACGAGCTTATTCTCCAGCGCCATGGTATTTCAATCTGTGAGATGCTTGGGAAGCAGATGCGAGCACCGATAGGACAAGCACCTTAATTAGGTATTCTTGGCGCAGGCCAGAGAACCGAACAAGAATCAAAATATAATGTGAAGAATGCCCCAAGCACCTCAAATTCGAGGCACGGCATCGAATTCAATCATCTTTGTTCGGCGGTTTTCGCTTTGATTATCCATCCCTTCGCGATCAATCCTTTCTTTATTTGAGTTCAATCAACTGTCCGACCCGAGGAAGAGGGGGGGAAAAAAAAGGTCACAGCAATGACGTCGATGGCGTCCGAGTCCGTGGCCACGATCCTCTGCACCAGCAAACAGACGCGCTTCAACATCCAGACAGCAGATTATCGAGAAGTAATTTTTCCTTCATAACTTACCTAAAGTAAGCGTACAGACTAGCTGACAAAAAGTCTCGTATAGCTAGAAATTGATGGTCTCAACATCACCGTCACCTCGGCACGTAAACCCGGTGGTAGTGGTAGTGGTGGTGCCAAGGGCAAGTCCAAAGCCCGGAGCGAGGGGACCGAGATCCTGGTCGACGCCAAGCTGCGTCTGAAGGCCGGCCAACGATACGCCCTCGTCGGAAGAAATGGTTCAGGCAAATCGAGTAAGTACATACCGAAAGAGGCCGCGAGACCAAACTTTCGAACTCCAAATGATTGACACGACGTTCAAGCGCTTCTCAAAGCCATTGCTGAGAAGTTAATCCCCGGCATACCCGAGGCAACTCGGATATCTCTTCTCCAGCAAACGAGCATCAGTGATACCGACTCGGACGTGCGCCCCGAAGACAACGACTCGACTTCTCCAGTAGATGGCCCCGCTGGAAGCAGCCGTACTGTGTTGGAGCACGTTATCGAACAGGCGACTGCGCGGTCAGATGTCGAACAGGAAATCAGAGGTGTGCCTGACATAGTCGTTGTATCTTCTCCATCGACCCAGAACTAACGTTCGTAGCTCTGTCCGATGGCATCAATAGTGCAGACTCCCTCGGCCCCGTGCGCGCCATTCGCGCTCTCCGTCATGAAAGAAACCAAAAGCATCTCTTCCAAGTCGACAAGAATGCAAGGCTGCGTAGCGGAGACCGCGGCCTGGCAGCACGCAAGGCTTTGAAGGCCTTTGAGAAAAAGGTCGCCGAGTCTCAGTCACTGTACGTTTTTTTAGATTTTATTTTGCTCCTTTCCCATCCAATTCCGTGCGTGGGTGATACTGACCCAAAAGCCAGGGTCGACCAGCCGCAAGATGAGATATCGGCCGAAACCATGAAGAGCGAGACGCAAGAGGCATTAGAGATGCTCGCAGATCTCCAACTACAAGTTGAGCCGTCGAAAGTTGCCGAGACGGAGTCCAAAGCCAAGCGCATCCTGACCGGCCTGGGGTTCTCCGAGGCATACATGTCAAAACCCGTCACCAGCTTATCTGGCGGGTGGCGGATGCGCACGGCGCTCTGCATATCGCTGCTCCAGGAGACCGACATCCTCATCTTGGACGAGCCGACAAACTTCCTTGACCTACTTGGCATCATCTGGCTTCAGCGGTATCTGGGGTCCCTCCAAGACATGGATGATGCCCCTACGCTCATCCTCGTGTCGCACGACAGAGACTTCATCACCATTTGCAGTGATCTTCTCATCCTGAAGGAAAAGGGGTTGACGTACTTCCACGGCGACCTTCCGACATACGAGGCATCGCAGTCGGAGCGGAAACTCTGGTTGACAAAGATGAAGGATGCTCAAGACAAGCAAAAGGCTCATATCCAGCAAAGCATATCCAACAACATCAAGGCAGGCAAAGCCAGTGATGACCAGAACAAGCTGCGGCAGGCCAAGTCCCGTCAAAAGAAGCTCGACGATCGATGGGGCCTTACAGTCAGTGCTAAAGGCGGCCGCTTCAAGCTGAATCGCGACCTTGTTGGCTATCACTTGACAGCCCGCGAGGATATAGACGTCTTCCAAGATGAACGGCCCGTAAGCTTCGTCTTGCCGGAACCTCTAGATCTCCGATTCCCGGGGCCTCTCATATCGGTAGAGAATGCGACATTCCGTTATCCGACTAGGGTCAAGACGAAGCTAGCGGCGCCAACAGTGTTGCAGGATATAAACCTGTCTGTTCACATGGGTGATCGAATTGGCATCCTCGGGTTGAACGGTGCCGGGAAGTCGACTTTGGTCAAACTTCTAGTCGACGAGACGAAGCCCACGTCAGGGACAGTGACAACGCACCCACGGCTGAAGCTGGGATACTATTCGCAGCATGCCGTCGATGTTCTGCAAGAGAAGGGCCAAGGCGACCCCACATTGACGGCGTTGTCGATGCTCATGGAGGAAGTAGCCGGGGAATTGGATGAGGGGCAAGTCCGTGGCGTTCTGGGCAGCCTCGGTCTGCCTGGTCGCATTGCTTCCGATGTACCTCTTGGGAAGCTATCAGGAGGGCAGCTTGTGCGATGCGAGCTCGCACGTCTCTTATGGCGGAGACCACACTGTCTCATCCTCGATGAAGTTACCACTCACCTCGACTACGAGACTGTGACTGCTATGCGTGGAGCACTCAGAGACTGGGAGGGCGCAGTGGTGCTCGTCAGTCACGATCGGTGGTTCGTGCGCGGAGCAGTTGAGGGTCTCGCCGAGGACTCTGACAGCGAAGAGGATGAAGATGAAAAGGGGGTACCTAGACGACGGCTTGTGTACAAGTTAAGACAAGGGAACATGACGCGCCTACAGAGCGGCGTGACCGAATTCGAGGAGAGCGTTGCGAAGAGGGTGACGAAACTGCTCAGTCTGTAGAGGGTAACAAACTGCCTAGGCCCACCATGGCTCGGCCAAAATCTAGGACGGTGCCCAAAGTCCCAGCTACTCAGGAAATTGCAATGAAATATGATTGCGTAGGAAGATGGCGCATTGGTACCGAATTCCAATACACTAGAAACCGGTGTCCAAGGCAGAAGAATACTGGACCAGTCAATTGGACTGGCGAGTCAGGCTTGATCCGCCCGGTATACGTGTAGTTCGTCGTACATGTGGGGGTTCCGGAATCCGCGCGTCGAGTAGGTACAATTGCCTAGTGTCTCGATCCAGCTCAAGTTTCTTTAGCTTCATTCGCATGAAGTATCTGGCTTTCCAATCTGACGATGCTGAAAGCCGAAGACTCGACGAGTCTGAAAAACAGTCCGACCGCAATAGAACACCTGTGAAGACTTTTAGAGAGTGTTCAAAGATGAGGCCGTTGCGTATTCACAGCGTGAAACGCATAGGCCAGTAAAGGTACAAAGTTTTTGCTAGAGAGCCAATACAGAACAGCGCTATTTTCGGACATGTTGGTCGATTGATTGCCGCTGCGCCGGCCCGTCCAGTCGGGTCGGGATAGCGGCCGCGGCGAAATTGGCGCGGTGCCTCAACGTCAACCCTCGACTATTTTTTATTTTGTTTTTGGAAGTAGGACTGCCCCGCTGCCGCCTAGGCTGTCAAAAGAATTTGAGGTGAGGCACGTCCTCACTCTCGACTGTTGAAGACGGCTAGTTTCAGCAGGACTAGCCAAGCCAAGCCGGCCAATGGCTTTGCTGGGAAACTCGACATGAATGCGAGTTCGTCAGAAAAAGCGTGGACGAAAGCCGATCGGTGTCGCGTCGATGGCTGGTTAATGCCGCCTGGTTGTTCGGCAGACTGGAGACAAGGGTTAGGTGGTATGGAGAGAAGGTATTGTGGTTGTATGACAAGGAATGTCATGACACTTGCCGGCTACCTGTGCCAGGCTGCAGCATTTTTCTTCTTCTTACTGGACAGGATCAGTAGCTTGGAGGCCCCATGAAGGAGAAAAGCTGCTTGCAATCCTCTGCAAAAACTTCCAGCTGCAACCTCGGGAGATTGTGGGCGGGAGGATCGGCACCATCAGCCGTGGTCGATCCCGGAAAGAAGTCAAATGTACGGAGTATATACTGCGGTATAACATTGAACAGGAGGGTGCATTGCTGACGCACTGCTGCATTGGCGGAGAGAGAACTCCAGGTCTGGCCCTTGCGAAGAGGCACAGACGGACGGAAACAATTGTGTTTGACTGGACCAGTGCCTCTTGGTGATCCGATGTTTGATTGGGTTGAGTTTGTATGCGCAGCGTGTCTGAGACCTCGTCGCGCATCTTGTTTGCGGATGTGTCAAGAGCACGAGCGAAACAGCTGAGAGATTCTTACGCAGTATACTCGGTACTCCCACCGGTAGCCGTAGCCCGTGGCAGCCGTAATTACTGCATATACTGAAATGTAATGGCACTGTCCAAACTCCAAATTAACATTGTACCTTTCCGGGGGCCGATGCGTGTCTTAGGGGCTTGGCCGGGCGATGCTGCCGCTAGACCGGGCGACTCCAGAAAGCAGGGTAAGCCACAATGAGCTAGTTAGCTTTCCTGGTTGGCTAACTTTGGTCATCTGGGGTTACACTGGGGGGTTTTTGCACCTCAGAGACGGGGGTTCTAACTTCTGGAACAGTGGCCATGATGATGTTGTCCTCAGAACCAATTTGGAGATCACAACATCCCCGTCGTGAATGCCGTCGATTGTTCTCATTGTTTGTTTGATGAGGTATCCGGACTAAGGTAAACTGTAAGGTACTTGGGCTGCGAGCAAGAGAGAGGCAGAGGGTGAAACAAGCTGTGACGGGGCGTGGAACTCTCACTCAGGAACCGTGTGTACGGAGTATTCGCCGTGCCTTAACAGAGAACGCATTCCTGCCACATAACTCCGGCCTCGGAACAACGACCGTGGCAAGGCACAGCGCAGCATGAGCGTCGCAGAGTAACAACAAGGCATTGCCATACTCCATACGTTGCGGTGAGACCGAATGAGCAGAATTACACGGATAGGAAAGAAGAAACAAAAGAAAAAAGATGAAGTGGGCAGAGTATCCGTACCTGGCATGGTGCCATTGAAGGATTCGCATGTGGGCACTTGACAGGTTATTATCAAATTGCAACGACGGAACTGGGTCCGTTCCCTCCTTACCCGCCCTGGCTCGTGGAGATCTTTTCGAGGGTCACATAGTGCGATGTGCATCCGGGTAGGGCGAGCCCAGTCTGAGTTTCCCATTATTGCCTTGGGATGTACCCTTTTGGCCACAGATGCCCCAAGACGGTACGGGTATCCGCAGCTACGTGTGCGGTGTGAGGCGCATCCTGCCAAGTTGACACATACCAGACACAGCCAGGAACACCACTTGGCCCGCCCCAAGGAGGAGCCAGGAGTCTCTCTTCCTTCTTGGTTATTAAGTTTCCAGAGTCAAGACTCCGCCTTCTTTCTCTGTGCGTGCGTAAGGTAAGGAAGGCACCTACCTACCTTACCTTAAGGGCCAACGAGTGCGTGCTGTCCAACATAAACTAAAGCAGATGCTCCCCCGTCCCATCAGCATCAAGGTATTCACGTTACTTTTGACCTCCATCTCACCTATTCTCTCTCCTTACCGCTCGATGCCTTTTGCGTTCCCCCTTTCTCAACCAAGATCCTAGTTGGTCCCGACTCTTGGATCGCTGCGCCTCGCATCGCTCGGGCTCCGTCTCTTCTCCTAAACACCTTTTATAACGGAGCTCGGCGGGAACTGCTGGTCTCTCACAGGCTTCAGCTGCACTCGCCATTCCCGGCCATGTGAGCTGTCTTGCTCTTGGGTCACGACCACGCCGAACTCTATAATCCCAACAGTAGTCCTTTCTGTTTTTTTTTGGGGGGTTTTTTTTTTGGCCCTCATGCCATAACCTTTTCTTCTTCCTGCAGGGTCGCCGAGAGTTCCGATCAAGAAACAGAAAGAAACGAACTGTCGGGAGGTTTCGAGTTCGACTCGCCTTCCAGATCGCCTTTGCTTTAGCTTTCGTCAGTGCTCCTGCCCACCGGGACCTGATATGAACTATTAGCCACCCTCCTCCCACCCTCATCCATTTCTCAGGTTACCGATCTTGGCATCTTCTCTTTTACTGCATTAGAGTCATCAACCTGCATATTCGCTCGATCCAGTCTCGTTGGCGTACGCTCATAGTTCCCTTGGCATCGTTCGCCAAAACTGCTATTGCTGCTATATTCGAAGAAGACCCGCATGCCATCGCCGCACGTCAGGCAGCCAAACTTGATTCAGCACATTGTGACTTCGTCGAGCGACCACTGTACATACACACGATGATTGCGAACTTTCATAACCCTAGGCGGCTTCGGACGCCCTTCATCGCCATCATCGTTTTCATTCTCATCACCGGATTCTTCTTGCTCTTCCACCAGCCGCTAGTCCAATACTTTGTAATTCCTTGGACAGCAGAACGTAAGTCTAGCCTATGGCCCTTTTGCCACCCCGGTGTACTGATTTGGGTTCAGAATATGGCGGCAGTTGGATGAACGACTCATCGCCAAACTGGGTTCAGCCAGCTCTCTACGAAGGTCGACCAGACAAGTTTGGCGAAGCAAGTCAATACGTGCAGGCAATTCTAGACCCCAAAAATGGTGGCTTTCCCATTGTCAACTGCCCTGCGACAAATGTTACTCGCTACGAAGTTCTGCGGCCTACCATGAACATGGATAAGAGGCACTACTTCTTTGCTCTCGATTTGCGACAGGTTAGAGATCTCCTGCCCCAGTTGATAGGAGCTGTTCTGGAAGCCATGAACGTCATTGGGCCGGAGAACTGCGCCCTTTCCATTGTTGAGGGTATCTCCACCGATGGTACATACGAGACGCTATACCGCCTTAAATCACACCTCGACCAGATGGGAGTTTCTTATCACCTACAGACAAGCAGCATTGATTCCCACAGTGGCGATCGTATCGGCAAGCTCGCCAAGCTGAGGAATCTGGCGTTGGAACCCATGATGGCAGATGCGGATGCCTACGACCCGAAGGCGACGATTATCTTCCTCAACGACGTTGCTGCATGCACCGAGGATATTTTAGAGTTGGCGTACCAGAAGCAAACGCAGGGAGCCGATATGACTTGCGCGATGGACTACCACTTCCTCCGATTTGCGCCGCATAATGGAGAACCCTCGTTCTACGATTCGTGGATCTCTCGCGCCATCAACGGCGACACCTTTTTGCCGATTCCCGACAGAACACCCAAGGGAGAACAATGGAGCGATGTGGCGAACATGTTTTGGAACCACCCGTACTCCCAGGATCGATACCTCAGCCGTAAGCCACTGCAGGTGTTTGCGTGCTGGAATGGAGGCGTTGCGGTGACTGGAGAGCCCTTTCTGAAGAAGCAGATTGATTTCCGGAGGTCATATCAAGGGGAGTGCCATACCGGCGAGCCAACACTGCTGTGCAAGGATTTGTGGAAGCTGGGTCACGGCAAAATCGCCGTCGTGCCGAGCGTCAGCTTTGCATATAATGTGAAAGACGGACGACAAATCAAAGAAGAGAGGGGGTTTGCTTCGGCTTGGACCATTAATGAGAACAACGGGGAGCCTCCAAAGATCAACTGGCAAGAGGAGCCGCCAGCGATGGTCAAGTGTATGCCGACGTTCAGGAACCAGTTCTGGCGGCCCTGGAATGAAGGACTTTGAAGGAACCCAGCTCGAGGCGCTATAGGAGGAGAAGTGGTGGAATTTTCATTGTAGAGAGCATCAACCATGATACCCGGTAGCATAGTGTTTTGGGATAGCAGGCGCTAATATCAACTATTTTTGAACTTTGCATCTCCGTATCCGACGACACCTCTGAATATTGATGTGATAGGTTTCCAAGCATTTTTCTCATGGTATATATGACACGGTTGCTCATTTGCGTAGAGTCTAGTCCAAAGTCGTCAAAGGGCTGCGGCCG